AAACATGCTATTTTAACATTTAGTGCACAAAACCAATTCATGAAGATACCAATTTTATTTTTAGTACAACTTTCAATCCTGTTATAATAACGAACTCTCAACGGGAAATCCGTGCGTAATAGGTCCCCGAATCTACGAACATCTAGTCTACCCACAAGCCAAGTGTTACAAACGACAAAACATTTTATGCCCAACTAAAACTCCTTCTATTGGATAACGAATTCCACAGTGTCGATGAGTTTCTTTTGAAACAATTGTAATTTTGTTTTACTTGATTGTGTTGTATTTCGACTGGCAGTAGTTATACTTACTTTATTTTATATTCATTATATGAAATAAAATAATTAAATAATTGGAAACAATATACCGTAGATGTAGATGTTAATTGAAGAAAAGAAGCTTATTTACAAAATTAACAATATTATTAAACACAAACAAATATCGATTTATTATCGTAACAAGACTTCAATATATTTTATATGAACTTCAATAAATAATTGGAATTTGAAAACTTCGTAAACAAAGAAATCACACTTTAATTTCTTTATTTCCAGCTAGCGCAACTCTATTTTCAATTACAGAAAACAATAGGGCCCATGAGTCAGAAACTTCTTGAGATGTGGTTTAGAAGTTTGCCGACGACAATAGCGTCTCGACAGCTAACAAACCATACTGACTATTTAAAACCGCTTTACCTGGTCCCCATTCTGTTATCTGAAGATTTTGTAAACAATTAACGAAAAAGAATTTTAAAAACTACTACAAATATTGCGTACAAATAAGTTTGAAATGCAAAATTAGCTTTATCGTTGACCAAAATATTAACAAGATGTAGAATGTTTATGAAAATTTATAACCACATTTCGTGGACCACCATAGGTTGGCAAGTCGGATTGGATGCGTCATAGGCGATACAATTTTATGAAATGCAGCCACAATTTATTTCTCAGGATGGTAATGCCATGCAGATTGCATTTAGACATACGATTGGAGGGCCCACACACGTGCAGAGCGCAAAGATCATTGACTCGCAGCGCGGGCGCAGGTGTCGCGGTGCCGAGGTTGTGCGCCCGGGCATTGTGAATCCATCTCGCCGCTAGTGACGTCACCACGAACATTGCCTCTACCAAGCCTTATACGGCGTGGCGGGCGCCAACAAATACATTCCTAGCTCGAACAAAGCGCATTCTGTTTATTGTGAATTCCGATTCTCAGATTCAGATAGTTACATGTATAATATCAACAAAATTCAAAAGCCTTTTGGACAGCAGAATCTTTAAATGAACAAACAAGCTTCAGAATTATGCTGTTCTTTTTCTGTTTGGGAACCTGTCATTCTTCATATCTTAATACCTAAAGTGTAAAACCATGTACGTTGTATATATTTAATTAACTCCATAAAATAAAATAATTCGTTCCATGCCCATTACTGGCATTTGGCTACCCATAAGCGTTGTAATAGCCTTGTATTTCCCGATACATAAGTCCAAGTTTCAATTTAAAATGCTGTCCTGTCCATTTCAACGTCCATATTTACTTTTTGTTTCTAACTTTGCAAGGAAAGTTGATTTCGCCTTATGTCCACCATAAGAATGTCGTTATGAAAAGAAATCACTGCGTTTGGACCCATCGCTGTCTACATGGTACACCATACTGAGATTGAGACTGCACATTTTGCGCAAAAATATGACAGGTACCATATATTACCTGACATTAAATTCAGATACCAGAAACTTGAGCCGATAATATATTCCCTATCTCCGTTGTGTTGCTAACATAGATTTATACTGGTGAATTTAAAAAATCTTAGAGGACAGCTCTTTAAATTGTGTAAACCGAAAACGATGAAATGAATACAGAGTATCTGAGTTTCTATACAATCTACATATTTGCATAGCAAAGATTCTACCGGAAAAATATAGATTGTGCACAACTAATGCACCAAACAACTACTCCAAATATCTGATCTTCAACTAGAGAATTCTCTAGTTGGAGAAGAGAGAAATGTACTGTGTATCAAAGTAACGGAACTCACTCAAGGACACCACCTAGGTCATACAGACCTTCTGGTCTGGTTCTCCAGTTCAGAAATGTTCATTTCTTAAATTGGTCCTACAGAGAATCGAACCGGGGTCTGCTCATCCAGCGCAGCATCTATAGTTCAAACCGCTGGACTCTGGAGGTTATCCAAAAGCAAGTTAACTTAAACTACTCTCTAACTTACTACACCGCAGCAGCAAATTAACTTCATTTTTTCATGATTGCTATTCTGTTTCTATTTTTACTTTAGTAGCAGTAGACCTCCTTGTGAAAGAGTTCGTCCAGTGAAGTACTGCCACCTTACCTATTTCTGCCGCCAAACAGTAATGTTAAGTTATGGACAGTGTACCTTACCATCAGATGCACGATTTGTTCGTACCATCATTAGCTATTATAAAAAAATATATTTGTGTAAAGACTGAGAGCCCTGTAACCGTAGTACGCAAGATACTTACATGTCCTCATCATGTCCTAGTTATGTATATATGTAAGCACAAAATGACCAGCACAATCCTCAATGGTCAAAAGGTTATCGGCGTGAGCGTCGCGGCGGCGCCGTGTTATCAACCTGTAGCTCCCGCCAGCTACATGCCACTGTTACTCATCACTCATCACCGACACACAATAATACGTGACTGATTGGTAGCAGTGACATCATACCGCAACTGACTCTTTGATGTACTTGAATAAGTAAATCGAATAGAAAACATCAAGGTGAAACATGGTCTATACGTCATAGAGAATATAATAAAATAAAATAATGGTAATAGTCACTGTACACATAAGAGTGCAAAAAGTGGAACGAAATATATAGAATGCCAGAAATTAACGATTTGATTACAATTATGTGTACCAAAAAACATTCCAAACAACTATACGTATTAAATAATACGTTAAAAAACTTTCTTTATCTCGTTCTAATTTAAATTCCAACGAAAACCAGAAAATTATATCGACGAAATGACTTATCAAATTTAAAATGCCCTAACTAACAGGAATATTTCTTTTTGTGTTCCGTACACATACATACATATATCTCATTGAAATATTTCGTCGTGGTATGCTGTTACCATATTGCCCCCACATGTTATTGGCTCGTATTATGTACTTTTCGGATAACAAAGTTAGAATCTGCATAGCAATTATGGCAACTTGTTGACGTTTTATCATTTCGAAGCGATACCCTAAAATTGCCTTATCTTGGAAAAATTCTAAACTTATTTGAGGTCTTTTGAAACATCAAAAACACAAACGTTCTTCCATACAAAAATGCACCTGAGAATGAAGGCGGGGCACTTGACTTAATATTCCGATTAATACAAATCATCGTGAACAGTGATTCGTCACAGGTTTTAAATCCTATGCTGGTTCCTTTCAAAATTCGTAGACCATATTTCTGTTTAGGGAAGCGATGTATATTAATGTATCCGATAGGATAGTAGTAAAAACATGGAATGATGTGAGGAAGTGGCAGGTAGTAGTTAATAATTCGTTTAGCCGGGACTGCGCCCACGGTTTTTTCTACGGCGCGGCCCACACAGGTGCGCCGGAGACGACTGACTCCTAATTTACTATTCCCGATACGACACCCGGACTTTAATGGCTCTTTGTTGCTCAGATTTTCTGATGCTTCCTAATCTTCACAATTTATTTTGGAATTAGCATCTCATAAATAGTTACTGATACAGTTTATCTCCGAAGCTTGTCAGGCCTGACCTGGATGCTAATATAACTTAGAGTGTTTACGTCAAGAGCCATTGGTGCTTTTAATATAAGCAAGAGCTACTTAAATAAATTCTTTTTTACATTACTTCTTCAAAAATTAAGTTTTTAATTTCTGTTTGTCTACGTGTGTGTCCATGGCACCCGCGCCACAGGATTTCCCTACTGGGAGGCTATGTGTGCGCGTTATTGTTATTATTGTTATTATATTATTATTATAATCAATACTCTTAGATGAAATAAAATACTACGTAATAGAATAGTGGTGTTACTCGTATGTTATTTAATAAATATAGGAAGTGATTTATCATGCGCGCTCGATTTTTGAAATTTTATTAATAGAAATCACTAGGGAAAGAGAAATTTTCGTTTTATTCGGAAAGTAGATTCATTCGACATCGCAATAAGTGGTAATGGTCGTTCTTCGGTGGTATTATTTTCAAACAAAATATCTGTTCTAGTGAGTTCACTGTTTTGCTAACAAAACACAGTTGAAATTCATTTATAGTATTAGTTAAGTCACATAATTAATCAGAAACAGTTATAATCCTCAACGTGTTTACCTTGATCAAATCATAATATCTATAAGAATCTATGAGTTGAACTTAAACGAAATCAACCTTTTATTACCACTATTGATCTAATTCTGAAAGCTAGCTTCAAACTAGAGTCGGCCAACTAACAGTTAGCTAATTAAATACTAGATGAGATACGAGTAAGTACTTCAACGCTATGTTAATTCACCTCATTAGTTCAGCATTTCTATCTATCTGTCGTCCTGTTGACTTAATCGCTTCCAACAGTATGAAGTGGACGGATTTATTCTATGTCTAGTCACGATTACACTAACTTTTATAGGTACCGACCGATGTTGATCACGAATGATCGTTGTTCCGATTTTTTGCAGCTTACGACTTATTGTAATCGCGAGGAAATCACAACCGGTGCCAATCTACGCCAATAACGTTACACGATATCTTGTCTCAGAGTAACAATACAAATAACTATTAAATATATCGGTACTTGCAATAATGGACCTATCGTTGTTTGGACCAAAGTGCGTTTACTAAGATTTTTTGTTAAGAGTACTTAATTCATGCTGTAAAGATTTCGATTGACTGATTATCAACAAAGCGCATATTTTTATGGTTACAATTCCACACACTGGGCAGGAAGCACTTTATAGCGACGTGTATGTCGGCTATGTAATAAAGCGAGGCGCCGTTGTGGATACGTACCTATTGTTGAATGTCGATATGATGGTAGGCTGGTATTGTCGCTTCGCCTCGCCTCGGCGCTGGGAGGTCCACATCCGGCGCCGGCCATTTGCATCGGACGCGCTGAGAATCAATTATTTTACTATAATCAAAATTTATGTTTTATTATAATCAAAAGAAAGCCACTCTGCTACTCTGAATGTTAGAGGAGGGATGAATGATAAAATAGAAGAAGTATGTAAGATGATGAGTGAAAGAAGAATTGATGTTCGTTGTGCGAATGAGACGAAGAGAAAAGGATGCGATACGACCACGCATGGATCATACGTACTGGTCAGGAGTGCCCGAAACCAGCAGAGGGTGCCAAGGTGTTTGCGTATTTTTTTCTTCTAGAATGAATGAATGTGTTCTTGAGTTTGAGTGTGTATACTCCTATGGGTGAAGTTGAAAATTGGCCTAACTCGCATCTTTATTTTAGGAGTTTATGCTCCGACAGATACGGGTTCAAAGCAGACCACCAAAGCCCAAATAGAAAGAGAGGAATTTTGGGACAGTGTAACAGAGGTTTTGAATAAAAGTCAACAAAATGAAAGGATTATCACGTTAGGAGATTTCAATAGATGGGTAGGAGTGAAGCGTGATGGATATGAAAATGTGCTTGGAACGTTTGGAGATGAAAGAGTGAATGATAATGGAAAGTGTCTGCTCGAAGTATGTTTGGAGTGGAATCTTTTGGTGACAAACACCATGTTTCAACACAAAAAGATCCACCAATGTATACAAGATAAGAAGGAAGTTTGAGGAGTATAATAGATTTTGTAATAGTGGATGAAAGATTAGGAAAAAAGATGTTTGGAATGTTCTGTCTGATAACAAGAAAGCGTGGTTAGATTGGTTATCTATGAAAAGTAATGAGAGAATACAAAAGGCAACAAAAGAGGATGTAAACGAGGCAAGGAAGGAGTATAAAAGAATAAAAGACGAAGATTATCTGATGACTTTCAAAGCAACATTAAGTGGTTTTGGAAGTCCTTAAGAACAGCTAGAGGCAAAATCACAATCAAAAAATCAAAAAGCAAAAAATCAAAGGCCACGTTAGAATTATAGTGAAAGGAGAAGAATGCGTATTAAAGAGATGGAAAGAGTATTTTGAAAGTTTGTTTGAGACGGAAGATGTACAAATGCAGGCTCAGATCGCCATAGAGACGAGCGGAAGTGAAAGTATGAGCATGGAAGAGATTATGAAGGCATTGAATACTATGAAATTTGGTAAAGTTGCGGGATATGACAGAATTGCTTTTGAAATGCTGAGGGCTGGACAGAGTGTGGTCGTTAGTCAGATGGACAGCCTTTTCAACTTTTGTTGGTCAAGCGGCCGAGTGCCAGGTGACTGGGGCAAGGCTGTCATCATACCATTATATAAGGGTAAAGGGTCGCAGCAAGACTGCAAAATTTACCGCGGAATCAGTCTTCTCAGCATTGTCGGCAAATTATATGCAAAGGTATTGATTGAGAGAGTGATGAAAGAAACGGAAGAAAAAATTTGGGACGTGCAAGCGGGACTTAGAAGATGAATGGGATGCATGGATCAGGTCTTCTACTTACGAAACATAGCTGAAAAGTTCTTGGCTAAAAGACAAAAAGTCTATTGCGCTTTCATAGACTTGGAGAAGGCCTACGACAGAGTGTCAAGGAAAGAATTGTAGTCGACATTGTCTGTGTATGGGGTGGACGGCAGTCTAGTCCAGGCACTGAAATCTCTCTATGAGGATTCCAGTGCCTGTGTCAGAATAAATGGTGCTTAGACTGACTAGTTCGATATCGGAAAAGGTGTTAAACAGGGATAAATAGCGTCGTCATGGCTGTTCAACCTATTATGGACAGTTGTTTGAAAGTTTTGAAAGAGAGTTCGTGTGGGCTGAACATGAATGGTTTACTCGTTAAGTGCCTCCTATACGCCGCTGACCAAGTGGTATTAGCGTCGTCAGTGGAAGAGTTGCAGGAGATGGTAAATATTATGCATGATGCTCTTAAAAGAAAAGGAAAGAAAATTAATGTTCGCAAGACGAAAGTAATGGTTTTTGAAAGAGAGGAAGACATGACGGATTGCACGATATTGATTGAAGGAGAGAAAGTGGAACAAGTGAAAGAGTTTGTGTATTTGGGTTCTATGTTTACCTGTGATGGAAAATGTGAAAGAGACTTTGAAAGGAGAGTGAACGCAGGGAATCAGGAGAATGGTGCCTTGCATGCCTCCATGGGCAGCCAGAAAGTGTCTAAAAAGGCACGATTGGCTGTGCATGGAGGGGTACTGGTTCCTACACTTATGTGTGGTAGTGAATATTGGGCTTGGCAGAAGAAGCATGAAGGTGGATTAATGCAGTAGAAACAGTTACGGAACAGTGTGATAAGAGAGCGTTGCGGCGTGGAAGAAGATATAGTGACAAAGATAGAGAAAGGGAAGCTTGGATGGTTCGGACATGTAGAGAGAATGAATAGAAGAAGAGTGACGAAACAAATTTATAAGGCGAATGTATATCATGACTAAATTGAGGCCATCCTAAAGAAGGGCCAGGTCAAGGGTACCCTTAACCGACGAGCGTGTATGAAAGCATTGATGCATGTTGATGAGGCGAAAGATGTGTGTCACGACCGTAGTAAGTGGAGGACTTGTCTCTGCCTACCCCATGAAGGCGTGAAGTATATGTATCAAAATTTGAACGGGTACGTATACGATCACATAGAAATAAAGACAAAACACAAATAACACTTTGCTTCCCACGAGACAGGCGTTGCCTGGTGTGGGGATCATAGTTCAAATATGTAATTGTTAATTGTAAGTTACGGTAAATAAATTTATAACATATTTGCTCGTAAAGTGGCTGAAATCACACCAATTTCAATATCGTAATGTATTTCATTACGCACTTGTGCGTTATTGTAATGTAAAACGCACGAGTTTTTTTTAAATAAAGTAACATGCACGGTTTTTTAAGATGCTCCGTCTAAAAATGAACGATACTTTTTTAAATCTTTGCAAAGAGTGTTTATGTTAGAAAAGTGGTCAATATTTTATGAATAAAATTAACTTTGGGAGATAAAATATAGTAAATAAACATTAAATTCTTTCATTTAATTAATTTTGACAATAAATTACAACCATTTATCTGTAACAAAAACACTTTTATACCTTTGCCTAAAAAAAAACGTTGTTGCGCGCGCATGGCTAATTTGTGGACAAGTAAAAATTATTTCGCGCGCTTTTTCTTTTCGCTGTATTGTTTTTATTTGAAAATGTCGTCAAGTAGTGATGAATTTATTAATTTAACACCGCCACAAGTCTTAAACGCTGCGAAAAAGGCTACTCTAAGCCTCTTACCTAAAAAATCGACCGATATACATATACTTACAAGCGTATCAAAATTTCATCATATGGAAAACAAGCAAAGTTGCAAATTCATTTTCAGAAAATGTGTTTTTAGCCTATTTCATGGACCTTTCTCAAAAATATAAGTCAAGCTCATTGTGGTGCTACTATTCAATGCTAAAAAGCACTATGAAAACAAACCATGGTATTGATATCAAGTCATACTCCAACTTGATAGCATTTCTAAAAAGACGCTCAGATGGCCATGTAAGAAAAAAGTCGATATTTTCGGCTGACAATATCAAGAAGTTCCTAAAAGGAGCTATGGATTGGCGATATTTGCCAACAAAGGTCAGTTGAAACGAAATTATTGTTATTAATTTCTTTCACTTTCGTATTTCTTTACAATATACATAGGTGTTTATACGTTCTTTTTATCTCTTTTCAGGTTGTATTAATATTCGGTATAAATGGTGCATGTAGACGTCAAGAGTTGGCAAACATAACAACTAATGATGTCGAGAACCATGGGCGGGTTCTTCTTGTCCAGGTCAAAAACACAAAAAATAAAATTCCAAGGTCGTTCACAATACAGAGGCTTTTTTACGACGTAGTGAAGAAATACGAAGCGCTTCGTTCAACAAAAGCTAATTCCAACAGATTTTTTCAAAATTACCAAAGTGGAAAATGCACTAACCAACCCATTGGCATTAATAAATTGGGAGCAATGCCGAAAGAAATTGCCACTTTCTTAAATTTGCCTCAAGCACATGAATACACAGGGCACAGTTTCAGAAGGTCCTCGGCTACATTGCTCGCCGATTCAGGTGCGGACTTACTAACACTAAAACGCCACGGAGGATGGCGGTCAAGCAATGTAGCCGAAGGATACATAGAAGACTCGATAAGAAATAAAGAAGAAATTAGCTCTCGCATTACAAGGATCATAAATTTGGAGTCAAGTGTTGACTTTCAACCATCTACGAGCACACACGCGTACATTCCACCATCGTCGCCGCAGCCGCAACCGCCTCCGCCGCCGCCACCGACTGCAGAACTCTGTGGTCTCTTTTCTCCTACTTTCACTCAAGAGAGTGAGAGAGAGACTGGGGAGATTGTAACTAATAATAATAACTTGACAACATTAAAAATGCCAACTGGCAACGTAACAATCACTTTTAAAAATTGTTCAAATTTCTATAACTGCTTTAACAAGTAATTAAAGATTTATTCGTTTAAGAAAGTCAGAGTCTTATTTATTTCCTCGCAAATATGTTATAAAACGTCGTATGACATACACACATCAAAAAAAGTTTGCGATCACTTTTAAAACTTGAAATGTTTTTTAATTTCTAAAAATATTTCAAAAACCTCTTTAGTGATACTCTTATTTGTTTTTAATTTTAATTATTTATTTAATGTTGTACTTTTAACAAAAAAACTATTTATTACATATTTCTTAATAATATTTCCACATATTAAAAATATGTTAAGTTTTCAAACTGATCGCAAACTTTTTTTGATGTGTGTACGTGCGCTTTGAAAATTACAGCCGAGGCGATATTGCTATAAGAAAGCAGAGTCTGTAATTTTCAAAACTTACCGCACTTATGTATATCATAATGTACTATTATTAATATTATTGTTACTTACACTTGAATTACGACTTATAATGTCAAGTCACAAGTTGAATCGAAAATTATAATATAAAAATACTTTCATACGAGTGACAACGTCACACCTGAGGATGTACTGATTCTGGACAAGCTATTGATGTGTAAACACGTTCAAGAAATCAACTATTTCTTAAAAACTGCGAGCTATTAAGACTCTTTTGTAGTACCTACCTAATAAATATTTGCATTTAATAATAGGACACCATACGAACAAGTGCGGAATCAACGACAGGTGGCCCCGTTCGTTGTGCCTTCAATAAAACGCAATGAATGTCAAATGTGTTCTAACCAGCAAAGTGATGAAAAAAGTGTTTGCGATCTCATTAATCTCTTTTATAAAAGACCTTGAACGAAAAACATAAAATTGAGTTTGCGTCACCCTATAAAACGCTTAGGTCTTTTTTTATTGCGAAGGTTTGCAGAGATACATTCTGATTCCATATCATTATAATATCTATGGCATTTCATTCTAGTCACTAAGAGAGGGTCATAAATGTTCGTTTCGCGCGTGGATCGGCCGTGGTGCGGAGGGCAACCCGCCACCCTCTATGACTGCCTGACTTTTCATTATCGAGATGTTTTATTAAGGAAGGGCCCGATCTTCTGCGTAGGGGAGATGCAGGGTTATCTCGTAAGCCAACATCGAGTAAAACCATAGTCAGTTTTTAGTTACATTACAACGATATATTTTAAGTCTAAACATTTTTTAACATAAACATTTAAATTTTCCAAAAAATTATTGCCAATACTTAAACTGTTCTTTAATCATTGGTATCAAAGCAAATACTATTTCATATTTTTTGTGTTTTAATATATTTTGACTATGTATTTTTTGTATAAAAATACAGTTAATTTTTTTAAATCCCCAACCCTATAAAATCAGTAAGTATAACTTGCATAGTTCGGGTGTTACGCAGGCCCACTGGAGGGGACATGTTTACACAGGGATTGAGGGTTTACAATATTGCATTCCTATGCATGAGTCTACACCTAGATATTTTTAAGGCGGTACTCATTTCGTGAAATATAATCGATGTAGAGACGCTATTCCAAACTATTCCATTCCTTCTGTTACTTTGTAAACTTCTTTAAACTCTGTCTAAATAACGTTAAGGTACAATTTTCTACAAACATTTTTGAGTAAATTCTTTCCTATTGGACTACTCCTACCTGCTCATGTTTTATTTACTTAAATCATTTCTGCAAATAAAAACAAATGTAAAATCAACTGTGACCATGGGACCTGTAAAGGGCCCGAAACGTTGGTTTGTTTGAAAAAACAAGCGATTTAAATCCGGAAAAATAGTTTCATTTCCTAAATGCAAAGCTCTTATACTCTACAGACCGCCGAATTATTTGATAAAGAAATAGCAGTAATATGCATACTAAATAAAATCAGAATAGATATGGCACTTATTAAAATTGCAATTAATTAGAATTCACTATGATTCGAACGAACCGAATTATCCACTAAATGACGCACAGTGCCGATGTTCCATCAACACGTCAATTAAATTCAATAAACAACGAGCACAATGGCAATAATTTCCTCGAATCTACGAGTATGTTTAAAAACATCGAGACAAAGACAATGCCACGCGCCGAAACAAAAACACTAAGTCACTCAGTTTTCACCGTTACTAACTCTATCGTAATGTAAAATGAATGCATGTCTTTGAATGAGCAAAACAAAACCAAATCATGGGGCCTGTCTAAAAGTTGGGAGGTAAACCTGACTGCTAAAGGACCATTTACAATGTTATATTCCCTTAATAAATCCAGAAATTGCGACACGACATACACATAAAAAGAGGCTGAAATCCGATAGCTCCAACTCGCAGGCTGTTCACGAAAGGACAGGCTGTGTAAGTTCCAAGTAATAATTATTGTGCTACTCGTGCCCCTAACACGCAAATAAGATTTTACGTAAGATTAATCCGCCCACGACGAGACCAACATATTGCCTGCGTAAAGGCCACAATTCGCTCAGTGAGATATCGTTTCGCACTTACTCGTCCGGCAGTGAAGGCGGCTGCACACGCGCAGCAAACTGATAATTTAAAGGTGCGAAGGAAACGTATATATGTTATGCTCTATCTGAACAGCTCCCGTGGGCGATACCTATGGACAACTGAGTCAATCTTCCACTACCGATCAGTTTATACGCATATATATATAACTTATCTTATGAGACCATCGCAAATTTGTAAGCAATGAGAAAAAATAAATTTGACTAAGCCTATTTATTTATAACGTTATAGTAAACAAATAAAATGCTTTTCTTATTTACAAAGCACCGATATTGAATAACTCTAGCACACTAAAATTGTAGATAGTGTAATTATAATTGTAGAATCTTTTACAAAAAGATCAAAGTTCTTGTATTATGTATGGCATCAGATAAGTTTGTAATGATTTCTATATATATATATACTTTTATTTTTTCGACTCATTCAATCTTAGCAATACTTACCTACTACCAACGACGTAAAGTCGTTTACTTGTGCGCTTTATTGCACAAACTTATCGTTTTGTAATACTTTTTCATATAGTTAAGAACAATCTAATAAGCGTTTATTCAATTATAGCTAGCAATAAAGGTGACCGCGCCTCCAATACGGGCTATTACTAATCGAGGCGAGTTGATAAAATCTGTGCTACCGGTGTTCAACTAATTGCCGATCAGCTGCCCGATTTCAAAATACCTACTGGCTCTAACTTAGGGAACACCCGCCACCGTGAAAATGATAATAAACTTGCACGCCAATATATTTTTAAACTTTCCTGATTCCCATATAAAAAAATAACTGCTTCCGTAATGTAGACAATGTGTATATACTGATGAATATAGATTGATACAAACAATATACCTATATACTATACGAGCCCTATACCCGGGTCGGGCTCAGCCTGCGGCGCGTGGTCGGTTTCTAATTACGGGGTGTGCTTATACTCTTCGGTGGCACAGTAATTAGTACTATGGGCGCTTGATGAGGAGGTTCCAGATTCGATCCCTGATTTGAGCCAAAAAAACATTTTTAAATTGGTTCTGGTCAGGGTATTCTGGGTATACAACGCTATAAGTCAGTATCTTATTTCCACTACATCGGGAAGTACGCCTTACATTTTGAACAATTGTGAAATCTTGTACCGTAATAGAGTCTCTCCGCTACACTTCGGCCTACGGCCTCGGCACTTATGATTTTAAAATAATTACCATAGCTCTTTAAGAGTGGCCATATTGACATGTGCAAAAAGTAAATTTTGACTGCAAATTATTATTACACACCCATAGAGATCCCCACATGCCGATTTTCAACTGAATTAGAGCAAATTTCCATCTGCCGCCAAAAAGTTTGTATGGCAGCCGTATTGAAAAATAGCGACAAACTAATGTTGATCACAAATTATTATCAAGCACTCAATATCCTAGAGACTCCCACATGCCAATTTTCAAAGGGATCAGAACATTTTTTTTTCTATTGCCAACAAACGCTTGTATGGCGGCCATATTTGAAAATAGCGAAAAACTAATTTCGAGCACATATTATTATATGGCACTTCTAGGGTCGTATTCTAGAACTCTATTCAATGCTCAAGTCAGGATTGCACTGGCAACACAAGCACTGGAAATACGACCCTAATGGCAGGGACTTGAGTATGATTTCTAGTGCTTTGAATCATACTCAAGTCCTGACTTAAGCATTGAGTAGAGTTCTAGAATACGACCCCTAGAGGCCTCCATATGTCCATTTTCAGCTGAAACAGAGCGAGTCTCTTTCTACAGCTATTTTTAACGAAAAAACAATGTGGCAGCCATATTAAAAAATGGCGAAAAAAACTTTTGACCCCAAATTATTATTAAGGATTCCTAAAGACCTCCTCATGCCAACTTTCAGCCATATCGAAGCAAGTTTTTCTTCGGCGGCCATTTTGGATTCGCCAGCTTGAATTTTTTTTACACAGGCAGTTGACCACTATTACCCTCTATGAGATTCCTTCCAGCACCTCCTATCTATCTCTAATAGTTTCCGTGATAGAAGGCTTCGAAATTTGTATGGCGGCCATCTTGTTTATTTGAATTTCGAACATTTTTTACTTTCCGCAGAAATTAACCAAGGTGTATCTCATAAAAGTCCACAAATATCCCCCCATGTATAGTTGATTCTTTGCCTTGGAGCCTATCCGCGTACAACGGTATAAATATCTTTTTTCCACCATATCGAGAAGTATGCGTGCTATTTTTCTAAGTGAGTCAAGATTTGTAGCTTTGTATATATATATATATATATATATATATAATACATTATATATAATAACAGTTACCATGCCGGACTGCCACGCAGAGGTCCCAGGTTCGATTCCCGGGCCGGGAGAAATATTTGTATGGCCTACATTTTTTTTCTGTCGTAAGTTTGGGTCTAATTTGTGGTTGCTTATGTGTGTGTCCAAAGCACCCACGACACAGGGTTTCCCTGGTAACCTAGGGCTATGTTGAGTGTGTACCGTACCCTAAAAACGTACCCTGGTCCCCATTAACAATTTTTTTTTATTGCGTACAAACGTTTCTGTTCTATTTACTACGAAAAAGCCCAAATAGTGTAATCACTTACTACTCGGTGTGATTGCAAATTATTATATTGGCAAGACTCAATGTAAACACGTGCAGCTATGAGGCCGTAGTCGTCGATGGCCGCCCCCTGCGCAAATCGTGACCCGGACGGCCACAGCCAGGAAATAATTGACTGCCGACGTAACTACCATATACTTACTGATAAAGCTATGTATTTCCATATACGGAAATGAGACCTCAACTGTGTATTTTAAATTATATCTAGATACGTATAGTAAGTATATTATAATTTTACATATATATTTATATATATATATAGTAGTTGCTACTTAACCGATGTACACAAATGTTACATATAAATATTTAAATTCCAATTCAAATCTCTCAACGTGGCGATTTGTGACCCCGAGCGAACCCACAAATTGGATGTCGTAAAACATTTCTCGATGGCGACAGCTTAAAGCGGCTTCACAAAGTGAAATGGCTCGAAAAGATATAATAATCTACAGCTCGGCATACTCAGGTGCGCCGGAGTCGAGCAGGATACATTGTGTGTCGGCGCGACCAAAAAATAGAATTAAAAGACGCGCTACAATGAAGCAAAGCCCTTTCAAAATGTAATACATACTTTATTGAAATTTGGAATAGGCCGATGCAAAATTCTATAAGATTTCGTAAAAAAACAATGCATATAACATTATTTAATGAAATGAAAACGTGTGGATCACGTATTAATATAATACATATATTATATTCCTAAAATAGCATTCAAAATATGTAATAACGTGTCCTACACAGCAGATAATGCTTATTATAATGAATAACAATAATTAAAAAATATTTGGTTCGCTATACAATTAAATATACTAACTCCACTTTCATTTTGTTAAAAATTTCAAGATATTCACATGAACATAATTCAATAATTAACTCTTATTTAACAATTTTATTACTTTTTTATGCTATACACTGTATGTACTTTTTACACGAAAAATGTATGGTAAACATATTAATTACCGAAAGGATTTTGACCCTTTCGTAATTAATATTGTAAACATGTTAATTACAAAAGTATTTAAACATTTTTGTTTAAATATTTTTTACCTACGTATTTAGCCATCGATAGTCTCTGTCAACGCTGTTTCACCCCATGACTCAGAATAATGATCATTACTCAGGAGAAATTAAAACAATGCCATCTCTACTTATTAATAAAAACCCATTGACTATTTTTTTATCCAAATAGCGACATCTCTTGACAAATAGCGTAGCTATTAAATGTATAGCACCATCTTGTGTCAAGTAGTACTATCAATAAGTAGGGAAGTGACTAGGTGGTCTCATTAAATTTTTTTAAATGGCAACTTTTTCGATATATAAACTACGGCCATATTGAAAAATGCATCATTTTGATTGGCTATCTGCTCACTTTGCGACTCTATTGGTTAATCGCAATGGCACGTCCCTTCATCGCCATTTTGCTGTCGTTGAACCCTAGAAGCCAAAAGATTGTTAATAAAAATTGTATCAAGCCGCTCAGCGGCGATCTGATTTCATTTATTACTGGTGAGTGTTAATTTAACAATATACTGTGTTATATTTCGTATCTCACGTCATATTTACGTGTGCACTTGTAGGTATCTCCACAATGGGTATTCATATCTATCGTGGTCGTTTATTCAGTGCTATAGAAAATTATGCTCACCCATTCGAAAGTACAGGTTTGTCACTACTTTCGTTAGTTACGAGCTTAACATTTTTATTTCCTATAATCTACATACTTCTGTCTTGGCGTAATGTAATAGTAATATCAGTTATTGTTTCAGTTGTAAAGTGAAGCCGGCGCCATGTACCTTTACAATTTAACTCTACAAGGCTCTACAGCCATTACACATGCCGTTCACGGCAATTTCTCGGGAACAAAACAGCAAGAAATAGTGATATCACGTGGTAAAATACTGGAACTTCTTCGACCAGACCCAAACACCGGCAAAGTTCATACCCTGCTGAAAGTGGAAATATTCGGCATAATCCGCTCTATGATGTCGTTTAGGCTCACAGGAGGCACGAAAGGTAATAAACGCAGCCGTAGTTTGATATCCCACGTGGTAGGTAATAACCTATCTAGAGCACATGGTCACTGTAAATAGGTCAATAGTTAAGTTACACTCATATGTGTCGCATTGCATCAACCCACATTTTGAAACGGGTTTAATATTAATTCATAATTGTAATAGGTATTTGCACACCTACCGAATATCTCGACATTTCATCCAGGCTGCACTGGCCATGGTTATGAGTCGACTCGGAGACTGAGGTGTGCAAACACCTATTAAAATGTTTCACAGTGCTTTGTAATGTTAATATATGCTACACTGCATCGTCTTGCTCCATACCCCTAATACAAGGGGAGTATGGGATAACTAGGTGCAAAGACTACAAAGCCAACATGTCGCTCTTGGCAAATGTCATAGAATTTGCTGGGATGTATGTTGTGGTGGTACACCAATGATTTAAGTGTATTGTACTATATCAAGTGGCCCTTTTTGTACTTGTAGACAACCTCAATTGGCAAGCGGCTTGCACATCAGTTTTCATGGTGTTGCTATCTCTGATCAGGGCAATGTAGAAAAATTACCTTTTCTCTATTGCCTTGGGGTCTGGGTGTTTGTGGTAGTAATTTCAGATTTCCATAACACAAGGGCTTCAGTTGCTCTGGGATCAGAGCAATGTTTGTGATGTTGCTTAATATTTATTTGTCGAATAATATCCTAATTGCTTATCTCGTTTACAGATTACATAGTTATTGGCTCAGATTCTGGACGTATTGTTATATTGGAGTACATTCCAGCCAAAAATATTATGGAAAAAGTCCATCAAGAGACATTTGGCAAGTCAGGTTGCAGACGCATTGTACCTGGTCAATATCTGGCCATTGATCCTAAGGGCAGAGCTGTTATGATTGGTAGGTATTAGTTTATTATTATGGTTGCATCATTAAGGGAATGTGCAACCTGGTGATGAATCACTAACAACCATCATTTACTCTATTGGGAATTATTAGTGAATTATTATTAAATTATTGGTAAATGATGTAAAGATGGCATATTATATTATTTATTTTGTCAATGATGTCAACTTATTCGCTCCGTGTTTCATCTGAAATATTTTGAAGAACTCTTAACCAGATCTGAGCTATCAGTACAATTTGCATTTTAACAATTTTAACTTTACCTACCTGTTAACATCTAAATTCTATTTACAGGTGCAATTGAAAAGCAGAAATTAGTATACATTTTGAACAGAGACGCAGAAGCAAGGTTGACAATTTCATCACCATTGGAAGCTCACAAATCTAACACACTTGTTTATCACATGGTTGGTGTGGATGTAGGCTTTGAGAACCCCATGTTTGCTTGTCTAGAGATTGACTATGAAGAGGCAGATGCTGACCCTACAGGTAATAAATGCATTGTTTCTTCTTTTTATGTTTTGTTTAGTTAAAAATATCAATGATTATCTTGAGGTCCGTGTTTCCGATTGACAGTGACGCCTAAACCTCTATTAATGAGTAAATTGCTATTATTCAAATACACCTACTGTTTTTATGAAGTTCTGAAGAACTGTCAATTTCAATTTACAGGTGAAGCAGCCCAAAAAACACAACAAACACTAACATTCTATGAGTTAGACTTAGGATTGAACCATGTTGTCCGAAAGTATAGTGAACCATTAGAAGAGCATGCCAACTTCTTGATAACAGTACCTGGTGGTAATGACGGACCATCTGGTGTTTTGATTTGTTCAGAAAATTATTTGACATACAAAAACTTGGGTGATCAGCATGATATACGATGTCCCATACCCCGACGAAGAAATGACTTGGATGACCCAGAAAGAGGAATGATATTTGTATGTTCAGCAACACACAAGACAAAGTCAATGTTCTTCTTCTTAGCCCAAACAGAACAAGGAGACATCTTCAAAATTACCATAGAAACTGATGAGGATATGGTCACAGAAATTAAACTGAAATACTTTGACACTGTCCCAGTGGCTTCAGCAATGTGTGTTTTAAAAACGGGATTCCTGTTTGTTGCCTGTGAATTTGGGAACCAGTAAGTATTACTGAATGGCTGAATGATGATGATGATGATGAAGTATTACTGCACATTATATATGGTTATAAGCATGTGAACCATAGAGTCTTGTTATTTTGAGCTTTACTCTATTCAAACATGCTATAAAAGACATCTCTGAACCAAGGTCCTCCCTTTTAAATGGGGTGAGTGCACACTGATGAGAGATGAACAAGTATGAATAATTAATTGTTTTATTTTATTTGTTTACTATTAAGTTTTAACATGCTAGATTATTATATATCACAAAATATATTTGTTTGTGTTTTCAGCTATTTGTACCAAATTGCACATTTGGGAGATGAAGATGATGAACCAGAATTCAGTTCAGCAATGCCATTAGAAGAAGGCGACACTTTCTTCTTTGCCCCAAGGCCCCTAAGAAATTTGGTGCTTGTTGATGAATTGGACTCGTTATCTCCTGTGTTAGGTAAATAAATAGTTGCTGATGTATTTCTATTTATAACTCATAACACAGTTACATTGTCTAACTACTAATTTTAACATTTTAGCTTGCCATGTAGCAGATTTGGCTGGAGAGGATACTCCACAAGTATATCTAGCATGTGGAAGAGGCCCCAGGTCCTCCTTGCGAGCCCTCAGGCATGGTTTAGAAGTGGCAGAGATGGCTGTTTCAGAACTACCAGGTTCACCAAATGCTGTTTGGACTGTCAGAAGACACAAGGATGGTAAGTTAACAGGTGTTATATAATGTGGCTTGTGTGCTTTATAATAGATCCATTATTAGAAAAATACGAGAGGCAGAAAAAAATTGCAAAAGTATGTAGTATTCAGTGTACTCATCAATCAATTTTGTTGCTACAAAATTGACCATATAAAAAACCAACTACAAGGAGCATTAATGATTAAAAACTTTTGGTCCGTGTTACTGAATAACCATGACGCTACAATCACCACATATGAAAGCTCCTTTTTATCAACAAATTACTAATAAAACCCTGGTTGTTTGTTATACATAAACACCAGTGGTTTTTCTTTTCAGAATCTACCGGGAGATGAACATTGCGATGTCGACCAACTCGAAGGTAGGCATCGGAAACGTCATTTGTCTTCTGGAAGCTGTTGTCAAGAGGAAACAAATGTTTTTGATCATTGATTAGCTGATTCTATTTTATCTGGGATTTTTTCTTTTGGTTGCAGAGGAGTATGACTCTTACATCATAGTATCGTTCGTAAATGCTACGCTTGTGCTGTCTATCGGCGAAACTGTGGAAGAAGTAACAGACTCTGGTTTCCTGGGAACGACCCCGACACTCAGTTGTCATGCTATGGGCAATGATGCTCTTGTACAAGTCTACCCTGATGGTATTCGGCACATTCGCGCTGACAAGCGTGTAAACGAGTGGAAAGCCCCAGGCAAGAAGACTATCGTCAAATGCGCTGTCAATCAAAGGCAGGTCGTGATTGCTTTGACTGGTGGAGAACTCGTCTACTTTGAGATGGACCCTGTAAGTAATATAATCTTTATTAATTTTGTGAGACTCATAATACCGACGTATTTGCGCATCGCTGCTTTGGGTGGCGTCGCGTGAGAGTGGTGCGTAGCTGCAGCATGCAGTGATAAGCCCACAACGTCGCAGATCATGTCGCCTTCCCTCTTGGTAGAGGGCGGCACTCGGCATATTCCATAGCCAAGCTGGAGTCGTTCAGATGATGAAGGCGGCAAAACCATGCCGTGGACAAACATTTAATTTACCAATTGTTTCATAGTACTGTTTTTCACTACAGTAATTTGTCGTACTGAAAGAACATTCATGTATTTGTATAATTTTGTAGACTGGTCAACTGAATGAGTACACAGAGAGGAAGAAATTGTCATCCGACGTATCTTGCATGGCACTAGGCTCAGTAGCCATCGGCGAACAGAGGGCTTGGTTTTTAGCAGTGGGGCTCAGTGACAACACTGTCAGGATCATCTCTTTAGATCCTTCAGTAAGTAAATATCAATTTTTCCTTGAAAATTTTACATGAATTTGAAAATGATGATACCAGGACACCACTGAATCTTAGTGATTATAACACCCTAAAATGCGTTATTCTCAAACTTCTGATCGCAAATTAATGCACATTTCTACTTGAAATATTATAAATGCAGTTGCTAATAACTATTTTTCACAGGACTGCTTGTCACCTAGATCTATGCAAGCCTTGCCTGCCGGCGCAGAGTCTTTGTGCATCGTAGAGCAACCGTTTGAGAGTGGCGCTAAGTCTGCATTACATTTAAACATAGGTTTAAGCAATGGTGTGCTACTACGTACAACGCTGGACAGCGTAAGTGGTGATTTGGCAGACACGAGAACCAGGTTAGTAAATATACTTTTATTAAATTTACCTGCTATTATGTAACTTCAGTGATGACATAATTTCGCTCCGTGTTTCATCTGAATTAAATTGATGAATTTTTAACCAGATCTGAGATTTATTTACTACAAACTGACATACGAACTTACCATACTTTTTTTATATAAAAGAACTATTTCAGGTACTTAGGCTCAAGACCAGTAAAGCTATTCAAAGTGCGTGTTCAGGCATCCGAAGCTGTGCTAGCAGTGTCATCAAGAACCTGGCTTGGATACCACTACCAAAATCGCTTTCATCTTACACCACTGTCATATGAATGCTTGGAATATGCTGCAGGATTTAGTTCGGGTAAATATGGACACCGTTTATACTTTACATAAACATTTTTCTAATGTACAGCGACGTTTTTGCGCGACGCTGCCTTCGGGTGGCGACGCGTGAGAGTGGTGTGTAGCTGCAACATGCAGTGATAGGCCCACAACGTCGTAGATCATGTCGCCTTCCCTCTTGGTAGAGGGCGGCACTCGGCATATTCCATAGCCAAGCTGGAGTCGCTCAGACGATGAAGGCGGCAAAACCATGCCGTGGACAAATCATTTTCATTTATTGTATTCTGTAAATATTTTTATCAAACAAAAAATATTTGAATGTTTTTTGAAGTCTTTTATTTTTTACAGAGCAATGCGCGGAAGGTATCGTAGCGATCTCATCCAATACTCTGCGAATCTTAGCCCTCGAAAAACTGGGAGCCGTCTTTAACCAAATGTATCTTGCGCTTGAGTACACTCCGAGAAAATTCGTCATCAACTCTGACAACAATCACATCATTATTCTTGAGACTGATCACAATGCTTACACTGAAGAAATGAAAAAACAGAGAAGGTAAGTTTGGATTTTCTTCACATTATTGGAACATCAAATTGAAAATGATGAAAGTAGTACACATAACCTGAATTTATGTTGATATACCTGCAGTTCTGATTTCACGTTAATAATGGTAAAAACGTGCCTAATTGTTCTTGGATAGTTTCTCAAAGATTATTTCATTTCAGAGTCCAAATGGCACAAGAAATGAGAGAAGCTGCTGCAGGAGGTGGGCCAGAAGAGCAACAGCTAGCCAGTGAGATGGCAGATGCTTTCTTATCCGACGTTCTGCCTGAAAACATTTTCTCGTCACCAAAAGCTGGTGTAGGTAAGCGTTAACGACTTTTTCCATTATCGAAAATCTTGCCACTTCCTCTGGGCAAGATCAGAAAATGTCCTCAAGCATACTGACTCTAATCGGGTGTGGCAATATCATATCCCTGCGTTAATCCCAAATGATTTTCCGTAAGTCGTTTGATTCAAGCATGGGAAACAAAATAACTCATTCTGTTTGCAACATATTGTACACTAAAAGAAGAGTAAGAACTTAAACAACGAATTGACCAGGTATGTGGGCGTCGCAAATCCGCGTAGTGGACATGGGCGCGAGTGGCGTGCAGCCGAGCACGCAGTTCAAGCTTCAGCTGGAGCAGAACGAGGCGGCAGTGTCGCTGTGCATCGTGCGCTGGGCATGTCACGCCGAACACGCGCTGCCACACCTCGTCGTCGGCGTCGCCAAGGACATGATCCTCTCGCCGCGCTCTTGCACTGAGGGCAGTCTACACGTGTATAAGGTAGCGCACAATAATACTCTTTTTTTCCAACTTGACTGACAACCAATCTTAACTGACATTCCATGGTTTTGCTTTCAGATTTATGGGAATACAGGAAAATTAGAACTAGTTCACAAAACACCCGTAGATGAATACCCGGGAGCTTTGGCAGCGTTTAACGGCAGATTATTGGCCGGAGTTGGCCGCATGCTGCGACTGTACGACATAGGTAGAAGAAAGCTATTGCGCAAGTGCGAAAACAGACACATTCCAAATCTCATTGTCGATATTAAAACTATTGGTCAGAGAGTATTCGTCTCGGACGTACAAGAATCAGTATTTTGCGTAAAGTACAAAAAGAGAGAAAACCAGTTGATAATTTTCGCTGACGACACAAATCCGAGATGGATCACAAACACTTGCATCTTGGATTATGATACAGTCGCGATGTCTGACAAATTTGGAAATGTAGCCGTGCTGAGATTACCACATTCCGTGTCCGATGATGTCGATGAAGATCCCACAGGCAATAAAGCTTTATGGGACAGAGGTAACCAAACTTTACATCCTAAATAACAATACCTAATAAGACGATCTTTCAATATGATGAAACTTATTAATTTTACACATGCTAGACTAATGAAAATCAATGATTATACTATTATTCTGAAGTAAAATATATCAGGCCTGGTTTTTTAAACCAAGCATACAGTTTGAACGGCATGGTCTCTTTTTAGGTCTTTTGAACGGCGCATCACAGAAAGGAGAAATCACTGTGAACTTCAATGTAGGCGAAACAGTGACATCGCTGCAACGAGCAACATTGATACCTGGAGGCTCTGAAGCATTGCTCTACGCAACAATCAGCGGGTCTCTCGGAGTTTTCTTACCATTCACGTCACGGGAAGATCATGACTTCTTCCAACATCTGGAAATGCATATGAGAAGTGAAAACTCGCCGCTGTGTGGCCGAGACCACCTATCATTTCGAAGTTATTACTATCCAGTGAAGGTGTGTTTATTTTATAATAATAAACATTTTCTAATTGTCGTAATCCACTGTAAGTCAACAGGCGCTTTATGTATGGAGGCGTTTGTGTTACACTGTGGTAAGAGAAAGAAGTGCCTAAGCAGTGATGCGTGAGCTCACCGTTATGGTGACCACGCTTTACTACTGGTCACGGCGTTCTTGAGAGTCGAGTGCATCGACCATAGAAGCGCTCGTAGTATTTAGAATGAACATTATTATTAATTTGTCAAATAATTTACTAACTTAACAAACACGTAAATTATCTTTACAAAGAAATATCTTTTGTCACAGAATGTAATAGACGGCGACCTCTGCGAGCAGTTCAACTCGTTGGAGCCTGCAAAACAAAAGGCCATAGCTGGCGACTTGGAACGAACGCCGGCGGAGGTCTCGAAAAAACTTGAAGATATCAGAACCAGATACGCGTTCTAATTCCTTGTGTACCTTTACTTTTAAATTTAAAATAAAAAAAAGGATAAATGATAACTAAATTATTTTCTTTTATTATTATTATGGCTTTGCCTTCGCCTTTAGCCAATGAAAGGATTGGGAATAACTCCCTGGAAGTACATACAATCAGTATAAAAAATACAAAGTAACGAAAAATATGTATGTGCACACCTTAGACGCAAACCAAAGGACATGTTATATTGACATATATAAATCAGACGTTATATGATGATACATTTAAACGTTGAAAACAAAACATTTTATTGTCTTTGTTTAACTACTGCATGCCGTCATAAGCCAAAAGAGATAGCACTACATTGATTTATATCAAACACGGAAATCGAAAATACGTAACGTTATGCTAACTGTCCTCATTTTACCATTTGTGGAGTACCCTTTGATATACGTGTCCGGTTGTCAAAGGAAAGTACTTCAAATGTCAAAATAAATGTTTTGGTGGTGAATTATTCGCATCAATTGTAATAAATTTGGACAACAATATTGACAGTGAAAAGAGAAGTATTGATTAAAATGCGTCGTTGCGACTTTAAGGGGTGCGGCAGTAGAAAAGGCGGACATCAACCGGTGTTATTTTTCTGCCTATAAATTACACAATAGCCAAAATATCTCGTGTAGTTAGACTTATTTAAGTAGTTTATTCATAAGTCTTGCCGAATTTTGCTTTGGTTATTTTAAATCGCCTGTTTGTTAGTATCTTTTGATGATTGTTGATAACGATATTTTGAGATAGTGTTCTCTAAGCAGACATATTATCGATATTCTGTTATTGAAACAATTCACTACGAGGTTTTTATTATTTTTATGATAAATGCATCATATACATATAACGTCTGATTTATATATATCAATATAACATGTCCTTTGGTTTCCATAGTCTTAAGATGAGGTCAATGAAACAAATCGAATTGAAGATTTAACACAATAAAACAAAATCATTGACACTTTGTGTGCCATATTACATCGTCCTTATAACGAATTATATAAATTCAATAAAAAATAATAATCAACAACTCTTGATTATTACTTTTTCATTTTCCGTTCTTATATTTTCTGTTTTAATTTATTGCCAGGTTCTTGCAAGGAAAAGGATTATCTACATGTTAAATATTTTAAATTATTAAAATGAGTACTAAAAAAACCAACCTCAAAAGTACGTGGAATTACATAATACAATTACCAAGTTTTATTGAAATCGGTTACCGGAAAGTGCGCAAACCCGGTTTCATCCCCTAGTTCGCCACTATACGGGACTTGACACAGGAGATAATAAAAATCGGTTCTCATTACTCAAGGTTTATTGAGAGAAAAACGCCTTGAATTGGAGAATAGCCATTCAATCAACCATTAAAATAATTGTTCCTTATAATAAAATTTAGGCGCTATTTATAAAAATGAATCTTCATGCGTGAACAGCCACCCTTAGAGGTTGATAATTTACTTCAAAATTAAATGGAACCACTACGGGGGTACCCTCTTTCTAACAAAAAAAGAATTATGAAAATCGGTTCACAAATACCGGAGTTATCGCGTAACATACATATATATAATAAAACATGCAGTCGAATTAGGAACCTCCTCCTTTTTTTGAAGTCGTTTAAAAATATAGAAACATTTTATCATGATCATAATTTAAATTAAAATCAAACTATATCCATCCATACGCAGACTATATAATTAAATTAATAAATTTTTCTCAGGGTTTCTAAACGTGGGCGTCAGATCACAAACTTTTGTAGAGACTAGTTTTGAGTTTGGCGAGTTGCATATCTTTTGGTGACATTTTACGGGGCTTCTTGAATCTGGTTAAATTATTCACGGTGGAAGATTGTTACATATTGGATTAGATAACAATTTATTAAAACCGTCTGATGGCCGTAGTAATTTGTTATTTAAAATTTCAGTCTTAGATTGTTTTGATCTTTGACGAATGCTACCGTCAACAGAAAATTGTTTCTCTGTTCTCTTTTAGCTCACCTAGGCATTTTCTTCTCTTTTGTGACATTATTTGTGTTTTTGTATTTGTTAGCATGTGTAGAATATATTTTATAAGTGTATCTATTTCATAAATAATTAAAGTTTATGGTATCAATGATTTAACATACCTACAGTCGTTTAGAGTATTGACAGTAACTATTATGACGTAATCTGTGCTATTGGCTGTGCCAAGGTTCATGCTATCTAGAAATAAGGTTTTATGATACATGAGTTTGCTGAATAAATGATGATGCTTACTGTTATGTGAAGTGAGAAAAAATTTCATAAAAAGACGGAAACGCACTACAGATTTAAACATTTCTCTGCCTGCCCCGATGGGAGAAGGGCGAGAAATATATGTATGTATCCAGAGAATGCTTGTTTTCAATATTGTATCTAAATCCATTTTAGTGACTTAGTGAATAATAATCACCCAACCATATTAACATACCTGCATATCACAATAACTTTGAACTTTGTAAGATTTCTCAGTCGAATAAAATCACTTTAATCGTGGTGATTTGAGTAAATTTTACTATAATTTAAATGCATCATATTTACAAGTCCCTAGGTAGTTCATTAATTTCTGACTCTTATGGTCTGAATAAATAAATGAGATTAAATATAATAAATAATAAAATAAAATAAGGAAAAGAAATAATATGTTCATTAAAAATAGTAAAAATGCTTCCGATTTTGCTATAAAAAACTCCACACACAAGTACCCTCACTACTGCATGCGCAGTCCCTAAAGATTGCTGTAAGTCGCGATGTCATTAAGCGAGGGAAGGATAAAATGATGTAAGGAGAAGTTCTGTACTTGTTCATATTTGTTTTTAAATACTCACGTAACACTCATTGCACTGTTAAAACTCGGACCTTTAAAACGCTGTAAATTACATTGTTCGTACTTAACAACACCCAAGTAAATGCTGTAAGTGGTACAAATTTAATATTAGGGAACGCAAAAATGCTGTAATCAGAGGCAAAGAAAAATTTAATTACGTGTTCTTGATGTAACCCACGCAAAAAACACCGGATTTTATGTGGGTTAAATCATTTTAAAATTCCTTAATCAGAAAAAAGCGTCAAAAAAATTATGTTGTCCAGAGTTTATTTTTAATTTTAAAGACAAGATACCCAGACCAATCGAAGCAGAAAAAAAAACTGAGCAAGAATATGCAAAAAAACCATTTGTGCAGGTATATATTTGCATATATACCTCTGTGGCTGGACCACAAATTGCGCTGTGAGCGCAAAATATCGTGTTTGATTTGTAATAGGACCAATTTGGGAAATCAACTTTTCTAAATTGGTTCTGGTCTCGGTGTTCTGGGTGAAATCCCCCGGAGTGAATTCCGTTGCATTGATACTCATAGTACAGGAAATGCCCTGGTTTGAGACCAAGTAATTGGTGTGGTTGGCTTACATAATTATTATTATTGGTTCTGCATACCACAAGATACTGTATAAATCAACCAAAAACAAATCAAGAAAAATAAATCACGGCATTAAACATGCTAATAGTAGGTACGTAACTAAGCACGAGTTACAAATATAGTAGTATACTAACGTACACTTAAAATCTAACGCCTCGAGAGTCGCTTTATTTTTTATTACCATCGATAAGGGTTTGTACACATAGCGTTAATTTAATCGCCCTACAATTTTCGTGTCACCTCGTGGGCTAAAATGCAAATATAAAAGCAAAGACCTATTTCTTAATACGTGAAACAAACGTTACTATGACTACGCTATCGACCGACAGGCAACTTTTCCGAGGCTTTCCTTTGAAATCTATGGCACTCGCGTGACGCCCGCCGGCTGAAACAAGCGCTGAAAGTCTGAAGATTTAACGATAAGTCTCTAGTGTGCTCCGCGGGGCAATTTTACTGTTATGAACATTTATCATATTTTAAGTACAGTTAATCTAATACAAATGCTATTTTATGTTCGCTTGTCGTGGGATTTCATGGGGTCCAGCACCCGCGAACAATGAGAGCACGCGCTAAGCCAACCGCAACGGTCGGCTGGCAACGACGCAGCGGTGGCCACGCGCGAGCCGATTTTAAAAGCACTCATTAGCCGGTGCAACGTAACTGTGATATAGCTGGCATGAACGCAACTGGTGTGCAATACGGAGCATTAGAAAGTGTAATGTGCGCGGTGCGATGTTGTCCGTGAGTAAGCCGGCCTCGCTGGTCCAACAGAAGAAGCAGCAGTGGGCGCGGGAGAGAGGTGCGTACACAGACTTCCTGCAGGTTGTACAAGCACGCTGTCGGCGACTAGTCTCGTATCGCGGCCGGTGCATGCTCGCGCCTGCGCTTGCGCCTCCGAATTGTTTCGAACTAATTCACGGTCGTGTTTTTACATGTTTGATTTCACAACGCCCACGATTGTCTAAGTGATACCTTTTTCAGTATCCGCACGACTAGAGTGGTACCTATTTATAAATTTAATTAATTAATTTTGGGATTCAAAACATGTATAGATATTACCAACAAGGTAAGCATTAAATTTTGTTTGGGAAGACTTCTCAATCACCTGATCTATGACAACAAAAGTACTCGCATTGAATTTGCATTGTTTAGGTCATATAATATGTACGAGTATATTCGAGTAAATTTGCCAGCCTCGTAACTTCGTCTTTGGACGAAATCCCTTTTTGACTCTTCAAGCACAATATCGGGCAATTAAACCTTAAAATATAATTTGTACACCTTTTAGTTATAAAATAAAGGTATAAACATAGATCGTCACATAATTATTTCTAGTAATTCTGTTTTTTTGTGCCTAATCAACAGTTCGCATTAATGGAGGTTACGAGGTATACGAATTTAGCCCACGATATTTAGGAATAGATAACAGATTTTTAAGTTTAGATGTAGTATAATAATTTTTTGTGAATGTTGCGGCCGACAATTCGATTGCCTGCGTAATTGACAATTGTAGTGAATCACTAATGTTTTTGTAGGTAGGTAATTATAATATAATATAATATAATAGGACAATCACGCACCCTGTCATGTCTCAAGGTTGAGTTCGGAACCGTCAACTTGTAGCCTTCAACGAAATCCTCTACTAAAAAATATAATAACAGACAAACAACTATAAAGTAAAGCACCTGAGGTTAAAATGACGTGTCATTGAACTTATGAAACGTAGCCAATTATTTATTTATCAGTAAGTACCTATGCCAATAGCGCCAATCACAGGAAAACTTAACAATTTCCAATCGGCCGAATTCAAAAGTTCGTGAAAGTTTTATTTGCAAGTTTTATTGAAATCGGTTACCGGAAAGTGCGCGAAACTGGATAACTCAATTTCTTCAAAAAATGCTCGTTCCAACAAAAAAAAAACAATCATCAAAATCGGTTCACAAATCCGGAGTTACATAAAAATACAGTCGAATTGAGAAACTTCTCCTTTCTTTAAAGTCGGTTAAAATGGAATTACTAATAAACAAAATATTTTTTAAATATAGTGTATTGCTATGTCATTATTATCTAATTGCCTACAATTCCATCTTCTGAACACAGGCATATACAGGTTTTCTTCAAAACCAGTTGTAGCCTTTTTTTTTTATAAAATAGGTGTAAATTAAGTAGGTACCCTATATCAAGTCACATTACCAAATATGGAGGATTTTCTAACGGACGAAATATAACACTAATAGTTAACATTTAGGCTGCCTAAAACTTAAAAGTACTATTACATTTAATTGCATTAAATAAAATTATCGTAGCGTTAAATGATAAAACAAAAACATTCGTTGCTTGTTAGCCTGTGCGCAAGAGAGCGTGGCAACGCAAACAAAATATGCCATTATAGTCGTACTTACTGTATTAATGTAATGGAGACTTACTTTTCTTTTATTACCCGTGATATTTAGCAATAGTATTCTAGTCGCTTTGTAGACATCTATTCTAATCTAGAATAAACAATCCTGAAAAGATTTGTAAAAATAAGCTACCTAACCTGCACTGGCTGTATTTGACTCGTGAAAATTGAAGTTTGCGAGTGAAATTATAAGACAATTTTGTGATTGTTGCGAAAGAAAAATGTAGATCATATACAACAACTTACATGTTGCAACCACGATGCCAAATTCTTAATGTAACTTTTCATGATTGGAAAACATTAGTACAAACGGTATTAATTACCCGATACATTTCTCACAATTGCACATACACCTGAAAAATCAGGCAATTAATACGATTTGTCCAACGTTATTTTTCGTACCGAGCATTTGCTTACTTTTTGTTAAGAACAGTAAAGGCCCAGTGGGAGAACGATTGCCTATCAAGTAAGCGATTGACTCATTTGTATTTTTTTTGTGGCAAACCCTGGCTTACAGTAAAGGAAAACGTTATGAAGAAACCTGTACGTTAAAGGCAGTAAGGGATGTCCCTTGGAAAACGTGGGAAGTTCCCAACTCGCGTTGAGCTAGGAGTGCCCAGCTAGGGTCTTAGCCCTCTCCGTACTGGAGACCCGTGTCCAGCAGTGGGACGTATTTATGGGTTGATTATGATGCCTGCGATTATTAATTTAATGCCACTCTACTTTAAGTAACTTTATAGGATATTCGAATGAAGACACATTGCGTAAGTAGACAAAAATTTTAATTATTAACCATTTAAAAGATAATTGTTCTGCTTTTAATTACAAGGGTGAGTATTGCTATGGAACACGCAACACTCGAGTAGAACATAAAAAACCTCGTTCCAACTCCTTTTGACGAATTAGGTTTACAGGTGAAGATAGTAAATGGAACGAATACCCTTATGAACTCTATGGTTTATACCTGTTAATACCTGAGTTACCTGACCCCCTTAGCCACCTATTTGTTTCTGAAAGCTTTCTTACGTATTCAATAAAAAAGAGTAATGGAATTCCAGCTTTTTGGTTGAAATTTGTATTTATGTAATGTAATTTAAAATCAAGTTGGCTTTAAAGTTTCTTAAAACGTCATTCACAAATGATGCGTAACGAAGTTATACCAAAGTTAATTTTTCGGCTCCAAGTTTGTTTAACACTTTTCTTCGCACTGGGTAGGTACTGTAACGAGGCGTAGCTTGGGACGCGTAGCGAGAGGTACTTTTGTGAATATAAAGTGGAATAAACTTCAAAATATACTTTATTGTATTCTTTTACATAGTTCGGCTTTGGGTTACAAATCAATAATGTCAAGATGCTCCATTCTTTTCTCTTAGTTCATTTTCAAAGCATTCCAATTATGAATCTATTCACTCAGCCAGTGATTCTACTCATAGAGTAGAGCCTAGACTACATCCTGGGGGCATGTAGTCTAGGCTCTACTCTTTGAGTAGAATCACTGGCTGAGTGAATAGATTCATAATTGGAATAAACTTCAAAATATATAATATACAAAGCCGAACTATGTAAAAGAATACAATAAAGTATATTTTGAAGTTTATTCCAATTATGAATCTATTCACTCAGCCAGTGATTCTACTCATAGAGTAGAGCCTAGACTACAGTACCCATAACCAAATAGTTGGCTAGAAGGTCAGATATCTTAGGGCATAGACTGACTTTTTTCTTTTATGAGTAATTCAAATACTGCCCAGCCCTGCTACCTACTTACCATGGATCACGTTTGAATACCTTATTCGGCCTTCCTATGTATAAACGTAGTATGCCGGTCATTTTACACTACTAAGCAGTTGAATTTATTATTCGACTCCTTAAATATTAAATAGAAAGTTCGTACGTAGGTGCTTACTCCAAATTCGAGTAATTATCTACCTGCAACTACTATACGTAGCAAGCAGCGTTTGAAATTGATACTAAATTAAAATGTAACATGTTCACGTATATCAAATTTCACCTCGTTCATCTCTTTGGATATTAGACATTTAATTATAATGTTCAGATTAATAAATTTCTATTGTAGTAGTAAGTACTTACCTAACGAGTTATTTAATTTTAACTGCAGTCATAATAGAAGCTATACATACTTTCATTGTGACCGTAAGTAGAGAGTACCAACCTATTCGTTACGTATACCTACTTATATTATCTTTTATTCATATCTCAATGGAATGGTTTAAATCTACGGGCATCCTTTGTGAATAGCAAACCGTACCTTCCCGTGCAAGGCTTCGATAAACATACGTAGCATTATAAGAAACTACCTCTATAACAAAACGTTTAAGGAGTTTGCAGCTCGCATGGATGACGAACAATTTTCCTTGCATGCGTTATTATCGATTAAACTAAAACCCTTTGCGGAGTAAAGGAATAAAGGGGAACATTTAAGGACTTTTTATTTTTCCGATCTTTGAATAGTTAATTCTTCAGCGGTAGCTGCGATGGACGGTACTATTTTTAGTTGCGTTTGTGTCGCTCGCTGAATCGATCACATTTATTAATATTGTTTTCATTCCCTTACAACATTTTCTTGGTTATTCAAACTTTCTATATTATATTCCATCTATTTCAGAGGAAATGTCTCACCTTTATCTGCCATGGGGCACTGGTGAGCGATACACGAATCGCTTGCAAGTTCGCAATCAGTTTGCTAGTTCACTTGAACTTCACAAAGAGTCCTCGTATAACTACCAGGAACCAACGCAGCGCCAAAGAAGTCCTAGCTTACCACCAATACATCACGTCGAAGTAGACAGAAGTAAAGAGGACAAGAAAACAAAAGAGGTCATAAATCGTAATATTCCCAGCGCCAAGCGGTTCGCGTTCTACGACGAAGATGGCGAAGGAGACACTTCTGGCTATGGCAGTGAGACAATCAACCATGTTAGAAATGGCTTTCATGACGTTAAAATCAGTCAAAGTCCAGTTATGGCGTGGCAACAAGAAGATACAGATAAAAGGTACTCACCACTGCAATTTTTCACAATTCTTATCAAGATTAAATCGAAACATAGGAAGGTTTATTACCTGGACAATGCCTATGCAGTCGCCACTGTTTTTACAACAAAAATCTCTCTCAAAAATATTGTTTTTAGAATCACATTACATCATGAAATATTTAGTAGATATCGTGCGTGCAGTTCGGTCACTATACATATATAGGTACATTTCGAGATAAGTTACGTGTTGTTACCCACTCTAGGTTGTTGATGCATTAACCGTAACGGAATAAATTTCATGTGTTTATTGCTTGAGCAGTACGTTGCATCTATGTATTAAATAGTGTTTTGTTGTAGAAACATAAGTGGTCGTACACTATCGGATAGTTGGTCAGCTCGAAGCCCGCGGAGTGCCACGGGCGAAGAAGGCAGGCCTCGATGGGGTGATAGGGGAGTTGCTACTGGGCGTTTATGGGAACCTACAGCTCCTAATGCTAGATTACCACAGGTAACAACAACAGTCCTATTCATTATATCCAGTTATAATGAAAGTTTCATATTTAACTGCTAATCTTAACTAATAATATTTTAGATGCCAAATCTGAAAAAGGGAACTCCTACGTGGGTGGAGCGCGGGCTTAACATGATAGAAAATACAGCGGATGTTCTAGTCATTGACCAAAGAAGTTCAACCAACTCTGGCTTCGACTGCGACAGGTCGTCTTGTATCGGAAGTGATGAAGGAAGGTAAGCACACTGTTTGCTACGCGTTTAGTGTTTTATTAATTTTTTGTTTCTAATTGACTAAGCGACCGCTTCTTTACAGAACTTTTCTTAGGGGACAGAATGTTCCTTTGGAACCAGAAATTAGAGCCCAAAGAGAAAACAAACGCCTGAAAGCGTTAGAGTTACAGTCCGCCATATTAAGTCAACTGGAAGAGCAAGAGAAACGCCGCCATGAAGAAAGAGAGAAGAAACAGAGAGAAGAGAGACTGGAAGAAATACGTATGCAAAGGCAACAGGAGGAAGATAAACAAAGACTTGAGGAAGAAAAAAGGAGAAATCAAGAAAAGCAGCTTCAAGAACAAAGAAAATTGGAGACTCTTAAAAAAGCTCTTGAAGAAGCTGAAAAAAAGGCAAAACTAGAGAAAGAGAAGAGATTTTCCACTCTTAAACAAAACATTAATACAAGTGTTTCAAGTGAACCCAAGTCAAAGGTTGATGAATGTGTTACAACTGAAAATACTATTCCTTCTGAAGCAACCAGTCCAACAAAGTCTAACAGGACCTATGACGTACACTCGGCCAAAAGTGAGAAGAAAGACACAAGTATGCCAACTACAGAGTTCAATACGCCACGGGCAGCGGCGGCAGGGCCAGGAAATTTGAATTTATATATTCATAGTGTACCTCCTATAGCGCTTACCGACAACCAATTTAACATTGTACCGCTTGGTATTAACGGCAATGGCGAAATAGTGAATACTCAACCCAATAGCGTGCAATTGGCAGTTTTAGTCCCACAAAATCTGAGCAACAGTTTATACAATGTATCCCTAAATTCTTTAACTAACATTAGCGATTTTTCGGATACTTCTAAAATACTGACCCCTAGAAAATATCGAATAACCAAAACTAAAGATGCAACTACACAGACTGATTTTGATATAAGTAAACTTACTACAAATAAAATTATTGAAACTGAAGACTTACCAAGAAATAATCATAGAGATTACTCCAATATTGATGAAAATGCACCACAAGATAGTCACCACAGTACGTTAAAAAAAGATAGACGTTTTCGTTCTGAAGAAAGATATAAAAAAGATATAGAAAACCGCCCTAAGTGGGGTGTAAATAGACCAGCAGCACAATATAAAAAACAAAGTGAAAAAGATCCATTTTACAGCCAGAAACGTAAAATGCGACAGAAATACCGAGCACAAGCCAGACAATATTTGTCTCAATCTAGTGATGACAGTCGATCTCCAAGTCCGCCTACACAATCGGATAAAACTACAGAAAACAACAAGACTCGTAACTCATTAAGCCAGTCGTATTGGAGAAATAAAAGATCTAGTCAAGATATAATGAGATCTGCAAATAATGCAACCGATAATAGTAGGAGCTTGGCGGCAGAATTCAATCAAATAGGACAGTTAACAGTAAATGAAGCGGCAGACAACAAAAAGTCCCCAAAAATGTCTCCTACAAAAAGGATGACGTTATCACAAAAGTTTATTAATGACAAATACGGTAACAGAAAACTATGGACAGATGAAACAAATGAAAAACACACAAAATCAAACATTTATGACGGCGAAAATAGAAAAAAACTCATCGACCAATTAAATATAGCTAAAAGAGACTACTTAGACAGGAACGAAGACCAAGATATCGTGATTAAAACCAAATATTAAATATACTTAAGTGCTTGTAGAGTAGTGTTATTGCGGTTTCAGCACAGTACTAAGCTAATAGTGCAATACGTAGTTGAAATTAGGTTGCAAGAAGTTTAATATCGATCCAACCGTCTCTAAGAAGTGCCTTCAAGTTAAATCGATATAAGTTGGCTACAGTTTATTCAGACATATTAAGTGAAACATGGCTGACGATTTATTTGATAAAAAGAAAGATGAAGCGCCGATATTGGATTTATCAAAAACTGTGATAAATACGGCAGAGGAGTACAGAGCTGTCTTAGACAAAGTGCCTGATTTTAAAACAAGACCGGAAAAGGTACCAAGGTGAGCTAACAGTCGGTTAACTTTCACTGTTTTTATAATACTTACCATTCATTTATCAGGTAAAAGCAGATGATTGCAAAATAAAAGATAAACCTGAAGATCAGAAAACAAAGACATCTCGGAAGGAAATTAAAGCGTATGAAAAATTAGGAACCCGAGGTTACGAAGAGAAAAACTTTACGTTCATGGATCCCATACCTACAGAAATGCGAGGGCTTAAATTTGAGGAGTTGTGTGCGGTCCCCATCGAATGGCGGATGCTTACTTCTATCCGGCCCAAATCTAAATTGGATGAAGAATATTTTAACAGGTAAGTGAGAATTATTGTTGAGTGTAAAATGTTTTGCATATTTTTGGTAAGCACATCACGTACCTATATGTGCTACAGGTTTTTAATGTAGAATATCCTTGAGGTTTACACATTGTTTCAGATTAATAGAATTACGCAAAGCAGAATTGAGAACCAAAGCACGAGACAAGAGGGAATACGCTAAAAACTCAATGATTCGAAAAACAAAGAATCGTTCGGGTGTGACTGAAACCAGAATCGTATCATGCTCCGAGTGTGGAGAAGAGTATTGTGATGGTCAGTTCTTCTATTTTTCTATTAGCTCGCGTGCAAACTGAACATAAAAATCCGGTCGTACACTTTTAACACAGTTACCTACAGTACGATACAAGTATTTTCATTTCTTAGAGCATGCATGTAATTTGTATTGGCCCACTGGCACTGCATGTTTTCCCCTATGGAGATAACTTTACCATTTAATGCGCTACTGCACGTCAAGTTTCATTAATTCTTGTTGTAATTCTTAAACCATACCTATTTGTTACTAGGTTAGTCGTTAACAGCGAGAGTCGTCATCGTGAAATTGAATTATGTATACTTACTTATATTTGACGACCTCGACGATCCAACTGTTACAGCTGGATGAGGAGGCCCGGGTTCGATTCCCGATAGGATCAATTTGAGAAATGAACTTTTCTAAATTGGTTTGGTCTGGGTGTTCTTTTGATATTCACATTGTACAGGGAATTTCCTAGTTTGAGAACAGGTAATCGGTGTAGTTGTACATAATACTGTATACAATAGGTACTGCTATTATGATTTTTCAGCACAAAATAGCTGATTCTTTACCTATGTATTAAACGTATTTCACCGAAATCCACATTCTACGTATCATGACGTAACTATAATTTCACAGGTAAAATGTGCATTATCACCAACTACGATATGTTTGTCCGGCTCAAAATTGAAGTGGAAACAAAGGAGAAGCGGACACAACAGACGCCCGCTGCAGGAGGACGGCTGCGCAAGATGCGCCGGCGCGTGCGCCGTAAATCACGCAGTAAAAGCGCTGCACCGCCATCTCGCTCTACTAATCCGAAGTCGGGTGCCAAAAGCGACTCCGAATTGTAAATCACGTAAATTTCATTAGGGAAATTTCTACTGAGATTATGGTTCATTTCTATTGATCGATGCAAACCTACTACAGAATAAAGGCAAAGTCGTTGGAGCTCGTTGAGAAGTTGTTTAGACACAAACGATCGTGTTCACAGTCCAATAATGTATGAAAATGAGCTATTTACAAGAGCGCTTTAATCCGGTGTCACCATAATCGAGTATTTAAAAACTGTTACGACTGATGTGTCTCACAGAAAAAAAATTAAGTCAGTTTTAGTAGCAAATAAGATTCAGTCATACCGCGTTGTTTTAAAGTTGTAAGATTATTTACTGTCGACTCTGAGATAACCTTACTACGACGTCATCGTACCTAGCTTAAGTTTGATTGCAATAAAAAAAGTCGCAATTCGGGCGCACTTTAAATTTAGTCGATATGATAATTAAGCGAGTCGAGTATAGTGACCCTGCAAGAAAAACGCCATTACCTAAAAACTAAATCAAAATAAAAAACTAATTAAATATTTCGGTAACCGAAGATTTTCAATTTACCGAGTTCTCTCATAATTATAGCGTAACTTCGTCGCTTAACGTTCGTCCATCATATTTTTTTTTAAAGTATTAAGTAGTAAATTAAATATTCAATGTTTTAGAATGAGTAATCGCAGCCGTTTCGTCAATTAAAAATCTTAAGGCACTGATATTAATCTACAATAGCTAGATACTAGTTATATTATTAAGTATTACGTGAATGTTAATGATGAGGAAAATGTGCCTTATTTAAAGTACATGTGTATATAAGTAATTGATCTCTTAAAAATCATAACAATAGCGTAATAACATGCAGAATTGCACGTTTCAATACACCCTACCTTTAACAGCACATAGTGCTTAACAAAACTATTGTATCTTTTTGTAAGTACTACAATGGAATCTCCACTTTTGTATTGCAATTTTACATAATCAATTATTATTACTTAACGTATTCTTGTTTTATTTACCCTATTGGTGTAGTAATTCAATTTTACCGACAAAAATATAAGAAAATTTTCAATATCACTCTTTATTGATTTTAAAAAAATATTTATATTACACATTCATTATATTTTTAGAGCCTATAAAACAATAACATTCTCAAGATACGATGTCTCTATGCGTTGGCAAATGTTGCCAGCAGGCTTAGCATGAAATAAAAGTACACATAATTTTCTAGAGTAGAAAAAAAAATTCTGCATGCACTCGCGCTCGTGTGACGAACGCTTTGAAAGAAAATTTACAATCTGGAGAAGATAAATATTTTGTCTTTGTGGTCATGCTAATCCTGCAGGTTTCATACAGTACTCATCCTAAGACCTAAATGAATAAGCCGAAAATATTTTTAAAGTCTAATGTACTATTTAATTACAAATTTAAATCACTCCTGAGAGTTCTCAAGATGATACTAGGCCCTAAGTACTGCCATTATTAAATAACGTAAAAGTAGTAAACAAAAAATAACTGAAAATAAAATATGATAAATCTCTTAGGATATATTCCAACTATCTAAAGAAATATGTCTAACGACAAATGGTAAACCCAAGGTGTGCCACAAGGAATTACAGTAACGCCATGTTACACTACGGTAAATAAAACATTACGAAATCCTTCCATCGCCTGGCACTATAATAGCAGTATCACAAGAAAATGTCAAAAATGTATAATTAAACATGTATTACAAATCGAGGATAATCACAAGATTATAGATCTTTTACAGTTCATGAAACAAATGATATTGTTACGACGGTAGATTTTCTGTTAGTCATTATAATATTACACAGCCTATGATCCCGAAATTTTCAAGAAATGCCATTCGTAATCGTAACGTTGTCGAATACAACGTTTTTCATCTAATAGCGACCTGTTAAACATGTATATACTCTCACTCTTATACTACATTACAGTTACAATAAATTATTTGCATTCAGAGACATTAAGAATTTCAAAAAAACGATTCTTTACATGATGATGTCACTTGCATCAGCACTACTCTAACATGAATTATTATACTTAAAACTAGGTATACAAAATAGGAATCTGCAATAAAACTTTTAATATTTAAGCTGTTTACGTAATTTATAAAAACTTGGCCGTGACAGTCATAAAGTTATAACATAAAATAATTGTTTTAGAAACGGCATTGTCCTGTTTTTCAAATAGATATGCACCAAGAACACGAAAAATAAAGGTAAGACGTCTACTTACACATGGCTCATAGCATAAAACCGCACCACACTCGGACGGTAACTACTGAAAAGGTAAACAATCCATGAAAGGTAACAGAAATGTAAAAGCACATCTAGTAAAGTCTAGTATAACCTTCATTTAGAAATAATGATTAGTACAATATGGAGTAAACAGCATATTTATTGGTCCAAAATTCAGGTAATCACATTTATGTCATGGGTTAATAACAACACCGAACTCGTAATGAATTATTAACTAGTGGAAAACGAAATACATACTCATATTTCCTAAGTAGGTATGTTTAAGGCATGATACAAAAATCGAAAAAGGGTAAAATGCACACATGTGGAACTAAAGGAGATTAAAGACTTACTACTATAAGCACCATAAGATCTCGATTTTTAGTACCGAATACATGTATCTATAATACATTGTATAATCATTATACATATTAATGGTACTAAAATATTTGGGCACCTATGATGATTAAAACTGTAATTTTCATTACTACTACCGTAACACTTCAGCTAGATTATATCTCGGAATGAGTCGCACGTATTCCCCTCTACACATTAACAACCTACCAAGTACCACTCAACCATATTGCAGATTCCCAAAGATCACTAAAATCAAATACATAAAAATTAAATGACTCATATTATAATGCATAAAAACAATTCTTCTTATTATGCTTAACTGAAAACAATAATTAAATTATTATGAAAAACAAGTCAACATGAGCTAATATAAAATAAACTATTAAACTAAAAACATGGACGTAAGTGAAGTGAATGTGTAAGAACAGCAGATATTCATTATAACTTAATTTAAAAATAATCACACCCTGTAAAACTACAACCCTGAACTAAAATATACCAATATATCCATCACTTAATATCAAGAATTCAAAAGCTTGAAATTATAAACTAATATTAGATGTTGTCTAGTAAAATAAATAAATATATGTAAATTGGAATAGCATTGTTGTCTGTTTATCTCACGTTGAATTACGAGTAATGAGTAGATCAAGTAGTAATTTTATCAGCGGTGTGAGTAGCATTGAGCTAGTGACGGGGCGAAGCGCCCGGCTGGACCCTGTCTGTACGACTCACCTCTCACTGGTCTTTGCGCGCCTTCTTCTTACTCTTCTTCGATGCTTTTGCGTCTGTCCAAGTATCTGGTGAAATGTTACATTCGTTATCTTAATTTGTACAGGAATTTCTAGACAATAATGTTAAATTGACTAATTAGCAATAATGGATGTTTAGATAAGTAGATTTTTGTGGCATTGTAATTTAATATTAGTCTAATGACTTGACGACCCAATTATTTGCACTATGGACCAATTTGGAAAATGAAGTCTCTAAATTGATTCTGGTCTTCTGAGCAATGCTTCAGAGAGGGAATTCCGTTGCTCTGATACCCATAGTACAGGGAACTGAGATTTCAGAAGCAGGTATTAATCACTCTGTGTGTATTACTAAAAATTTAGTTAAATATACTTTACATTTTGCGATCTCAGGTATTTTAACTGTTACCCTAATGTGTAATTTTGAATAAAATTAAATAAGATTTCCACCTAATAACATTTCAACCTCAAAAAGCCTATTCCTTTACAATGTTGAACACCACAAATATATTTGCATTATTATTTCACTGTTTATACACTCACTGAGTTTCCACGAATAAGTTTGCATTATGTATTACTGTTATTTATAGCGATAACAACAAACCTCCAAGTTCATCAAAGACGGGCGCAGGCTTATCATCTTGTTTGTCTGAATCAGAGTTGTTATCCACAGAATCAAGTTTGGGCGCGTTCTTAGCAGCAACAGCCTGCAACAACAATGTCCAAAAATTTGTTATAATCATGAGTGCTTTCTTAAACTGTGGTTAAGATGTATCTCTGAGTACTGTCTGATTTCTGGAAGAATCTGGCATGTTGACAGATCTCACAACAAGACATTGACTTTGTTGTTAATGCATGTGCCACTTTACCTATTTCTGCCGCCAAGCGGTAATGTGACAATTATCCGCATTCCGGTTTTGAAAGGTAAGGGTGCTGATGAAATTACAGACACATGGGACTTGTCACAGTGGCAGTGCCTCTAAGATCTTTGCGAGTTAAAGCTCTAAGTGGCACTGCAACAGTTGTGGACAGGCATGTAACTTACCGCCAGGCACACAAATATGTGCACTGGCGCACAAATAGAAGTAAAATAAGAACTAGTTTTAAAAGTGACTTCATACAGACCTCACTTGCTTTCTTCTTCTGTTTCTCCTTGTTTTCCTTCTTCTTGTTGCTTCTTAGGTCTTTAACGACAGACAACTCCTCTTCCTTATCAACTTTATCATCAGCCGACTGGTCCAAGACAATCTGGTCCAAGTCGCGCTGGTCCACATCATGTTGTTCCTTCATGCGCTTTTCCATTTCACGCTGCTCCCTCTGCAAACAAAAAGCATGATGTTTCTGAATGTTATACTGTTCATATTATTATAATAGCAGCAGTATGTACTTTTACACAAACCATTTAGATTTTTGTGCTGTTTTTACAGTTTCTAGTTCTACAGTTTGTTTTCTTTACTTAAAAAAAAAATCTGACTTATCAGTCAGATTTTTTTTTTTTAATCACTGCTTTGTGTTAATTTTGTTCTATTATATAACAAATACTGCTTTTTTAATTCATTAAGTTAAATCTTAATTACTTTTTGGAGTCAAAAGAAAGAGAAGATGACTTCTAAAATTATAAGTAAAACTAAATGAAATCTCAACGTGTCTAGGCATACTTTAGAAGACAATGTAATTTTTTTTAATCAGTTTTGTGGTATTCACAGAAGAGCACTGATGTCTGAAATTCAAAAATTAATTACCCATTTCAGACACAAATGTCTTGCCATAAATGTAATGTTGTAAGCTTATCACTGTTAATGACAAATTTGTCTGTAAGAAATGTATAAATTTATAATTAATTAAAATATATAAATTTATTATTATTATTATTATTTGTCATTGATAAGTTTTTTAACTCTTCTGTTGCGGCATTTGTGGATCCGAAACGGACCTATTTCCAGTTGTTATGAACAGCCAATTAACTTCCGCAAGTTAAGAGTTAAGCAATCATCTCATCATAAAAAAATTTATGTTATTTTTGGACCCACAGGTTATTGTCAACAGTGCCATAATTACATTTTTTCTATTGTATAAAGTGTAATTTATGTTGCTTACCTCCTTAAACACACGTTGCACCTCCTCAACTTGAGCTTGGAGAGCACGAGTGGCCTCCTCATCGACTCCAGGACCCTCAACACTGACAACCTTAATGCTCTCTTCCACAGGCTCTTCAAAAGGTCGTGCGGCTTCCACATCAGCATCCTTGGTTTTGTTATTCTTTTTGTTTTTCTTAGCAGGGCTCTCTTTCTTAGGTGCAGCTTCTTCCGAGGGCTTAGCTGGCTTCTTCTTCTCACTAGGTTTCACTTTCTTTGGCACCTCCTCCCATATACCTTCATCAAAGTCAGCGGGCTTCTCTGCCTCTGCAGCTAGCTTGCTCTTCTTACCCTTCTTCACCTCAGTAGTGGTATCCTTTTTCACGAGTTTGGGTTCAGCTTGAAGTTGCTTTTCCTTGGGCTTCTTTTCTTCTTTCACTTTTTCCTCCCTTTTCTCCTTAGTTGGAGATTTTTTAGAGTTTTCAGACTTAGTCTTTCCATCCTCAGTCGCTGTGCGGTTTGGTGAAGACTTCTGTAATGAAATACAAAATATATTTCTAATAAATTTTGCAATGATCGCACATTAGAGGAATCTTTGAAGAAAGGCTATTAACAAAAACATGTGCAAAGTGATATGAAAGATAATAGTTAAGTATATAATGGAAAAGTGCATTATACAACAAGATAGTAAACAAAGTAGGTATGTGACTTGGCAATGTCCCGGTGGAGCCATGAACATATGCTTACAGGTTAAAAATAAAATGAGCACACGCCACCAGGGCCCGCCGCTTATTGTTGGCACTAACCTTGTCCTTCGTTTTCCTCTTCGCCTTGGACGACTTCCTATCGTCCACCACAAGCGGCAGCTTATCGAATTGCGGTTGTTCCGCCGAATGGAACCCGAAGATAAATACTAATGCTGCACATACTAAAACAACCGCCACAGCAGCTGCGGGAAAGAGGAATTGAGTGTTCGACATTGCCCTCAGTAGTTCCATTTTAGGGCTTCAATAGAAAATTATCCAAAACTTATAGTTCACACATAAAGGTATCGATAAGGTATGATAATGTTGAACAAATTAATTCCCCAGCGATAAAAGCAGACACGGCGACATGATGACGCGGCTGTGACGTGCCAAAAATTGCGATTTCTAGAGATGAGACACAATGATTATGATAATACCTGTCGTATTAGATTAAACTAGTAAATTACATTTAAAGAATGAAGTATTTTTACTTCCATTCCAACAATTGATACTGGGTTTACACAACTAATTTATACGTTTTTACATATACAAAAACTAAATAATCATTGGTTTAACATTTTCTTCGAACACTTGGGATTTATTTTCAAGTATATTTCGGTTATTCAACATTTTCCTGATTTTCCTGTTCAAGAGACATCTTTCACTGAACGAAGATATTAGATATGTTTAGTGTTAGGTGATGGAAAAATTTCCATTCTGAAAAATTTTATTTTTTAGAAAAAATAAATAATTTTCGTATATTATTCCTCATTTGATATTGACACGTATCAAAAGTTCAAGATACTGTACTCAAATATAAGGATTTGTGAAGAAAATTACATTCAGCAATGTTTGAAGAATTTTATTTTACAATTCATGCAAAATAACACTTTAAAAGATATGAAAAGGTACAACACAATATGAGTCGTCGAATTTTTCAACTTTTTGAATTTTTGTTCTAAAAAAAAAAGAAAAAACCCAATACTAGATGTGTTAGTTAGTTTTTTTTTTTTTTTAATTTATTAAGGCTTTGGCAAAGCCATCAGCCTAAACATGAAGTTTAAATTATGTTTCTGTAAATATGGCCGCCACAAAGAGGATAGGCAATTTGAGGCGGCGTGCTTGGATTGACTCGGGATTCCATAAAAGGGGCTGATACGGGTTTGTCTGAGTTTGAGATTCGTATAATTTCGCGTTTTAATCTTCGATTAAGGCACAATAGCACTATCCTATTCCACTTTAAACTAGATTTCACAAAATAATTGAAAGTCAAAATAAAAACGACACTTTTCCCTCCAAAAGGTCCAGAGCGAATCTGTTAGTTAGTAAGTTCGCTGTGAATGGTGATATTAGATGCCATATCATCCGATTGACAAAGATTTTACTAAATGTAAATATTACCTGACTTGCAATGCGATTCACTAAATGCATATGGTATTATTAGATAATATTATTATTTGTTATGGTTTTAAAACTCTACATATTTTTGTAGCAGATTTCATGTTTGTTACACAATGAAAGTTTAGGTTTCCTTAAAAGCTATTATTTATTTATTTCCAATAAAAGAATCGTGAATTCATTTATTTATGACCGTTTTATTCGAAAGAAATAAATAACCAATTTAATAAATAAATCAAATTATCACAAAAAAAAAATATCACATTACAAAGTTACTTTTCCTTTACCACAATTCTAGTATTTGTATACTAGGCTTCTTGCAACGTCTCTAATATTACTAAGTACACTTTTTATTTGTAAATTTAGATACCAGCTATTTTAGCCTTCTTCATATCCAAAAACTATTATAATTCGAGTTACTTTGATTAGGTATATTAGCCAACCTAATTAATGTTCATGTTCCTGCCACTGATAGATAAGAGTATTATATTAGCGTACTCATGATTGCTCACGTACGCGGCGTATACCTATAGTAAGGTAATGTACGTACATACCAAGTGCAGTGTAACAAATTCTTTATTTAATGACAACGGCGAAAACCAACGATATCTGTGAAACCGATGTGAGGAAGCTTCTTTTACTTATTAGTAAATTCAAAGAACGAAAGTATGTAGGTATTTGCGAGAAATCTCGTATTTAATCCTAACCTACCTCTGCTCTTATTGTTATTCTTAATACATGGTTCATAATTTGTAACATTATTTTAATTTGAAAACCTCATATTAAGAAATCTCGTATTTAATCCTAACCTACCTCTGCTCTTATTGTTATTCTTAATACATGGTTCATAATTTGTAACATTATTTTAATTTGAAAACCTCATATTATATACATACAATATGAATTTATTGACTATTGAAATCTGTGTAGGTTTGTGTAAGACATTGTTTTATCAATTGTAAACTATAACATTATCTAAATAAAATTTAAAAAGTATCCGAAATTATTGGTTTACGATATTTTTTATCTGTCTATCATGCATTGGTTTACGATATTTTTTATCTGTCTATCATGTGTCTGTGTTATTTTTTTCCATCCTCTAAGGTCTGTGTATGTATTTGTCATGGTGATGAATAAAGATTTTATTTATTTATTTATCTATCTATCTATCTATCCGATTTGTAATTTTTTTTCTTTCTATTCTAGTATT